CGGGATCGCCCACGCGGGTGGGGGCTCGGGGCGGAGGTGCGGGCCGAGGGCGCGGTGCAGAGCCCCGCCCGGGGCTGAGAACCATCTTGTTTTCCGCGCAGATCCGGAGGGGCAGCACGCGCCCAGGCAGCACCGTCTGTTTGTTTCGCGGCCGCCGCAGGCTCGGTGAGTCGTTTTTGCCCTCCGGCCGGCAGGCTGGGCGCGCAGGGGTGCCGGCCCCCGCCGGGCGCGCAGCGGCACCATGGGCACGGTGCTGTCCCTGTCCCCCAGCTACCGGAAGGCCACGCTGTTTGAGGATGGCGCGGCCACGGTGGGCCACTATACGGCGGTGCAGAACAGCAAGAACGCCAAGGACAAGAACCTGAAGCGGCACTCCATCATCTCGGTGCTGCCTTGGAAGAGGATCGTGGCCGTGTCGGCCAAGAAGAAGAACTCCAAGAAGGTGCAGCCCAACAGCAGCTACCAGAACAACATCACGCACCTCAACAATGAGAACCTGAAGAAGTCTCTGTCGTGCGCCAACCTGTCCACATTCGCCCAGCCCCCACCGGCCCAGCCGCCCGCACCCCCAGCGGGCCAGCTCACCGGCTCTGTCAAGAAGGCCCCGCCCCCTGCCATCACCTCTGCAGGGACACCTAAACGGGTCATCGTCCAGGCGTCCACCAGCGAGCTGCTGCGCTGCCTGGGCGAGTTTCTCTGCCGTCGGTGCTACCGCCTGAAGCACTTGTCCCCCACGGACCCAGTGCTCTGGCTGCGCAGCGTGGACCGCTCGCTGCTTCTGCAGGGCTGGCAGGACCAGGGCTTCATCACACCGGCCAATGTGGTCTTCCTCTACATGCTCTGCAGGGATGTTATCTCCTCCGAGGTGGGCTCGGACCACGAGCTCCAGGCTGTCCTGCTGACCTGCCTGTACCTCTCCTATTCCTACATGGGCAATGAGATCTCCTACCCGCTCAAGCCCTTCCTGGTGGAGAGCTGCAAGGAGGCCTTTTGGGACCGTTGCCTCTCAGTTATCAACCTCATGAGCTCCAAGATGCTGCAGATCAATGCTGACCCACACTACTTCACACAGGTGTTCTCTGACTTGAAGAATGAGAGCGGCCAGGAGGACAAGAAGCGACTCCTTCTAGGGCTGGATCGGTGAGCCCTGTAGTCCATGTCGTGGCTAAAGGATTCCATTCATTTTTAAAAATTTATTACTAAACAAACCAAGTTTTGTGTACAGTGTCTAGCAAAGCCACCGAGGGCCTCTTCCCATGTTCTCTCCTGGGTTTTTTTTTTCAGCCCTGCCAAGAACTCTAGGGACTTTCAAACTCGTGAACCTTATAAGAACCCAGATATATTCAGAGCCACTCAGGCTGCTTCCCACTCACTTGGGGGACTTTTGGGGACTCACCTGCCCCTGCCACCTGTGCCCATGCTGGATCTTGGGTGGATAAGGCTTCCCATTGTTTCCTGATGGAAGCTGAAGGGGGCGGGTGTCTCTAGCTGCTTGGGCCCGGGGAGGAATTGGGATTTCTGGTTTGCAGTCAGGCCTTTTTCTGGCAGCTGTTTGGGTGTTTTGTTCTCCTTGGGGCTCCTGGAGCCAGCTGTCCTGACCGAGGCTTCCAGGGGGTTGTGAGGCAAGATCTCCACTGCCCAGGGGCATCAGTCCAGGAGTGGGGAAGTGGGTCTTGTGCAAAGATTGTCAATGCCTGTTGACCATGCACGGCCCTGGTTTGCTGTTTTCTTTTCTGGGGAGGGCTTTCCTTTACTGGAAAAATGGAACCCCCCTGCCCTTTGTCCACACTCCCAGCTCACACCAGTTTGTTAATGAGTTGGTTTGCTCATTAGGTTCACTCATTTTGGGTCCCAGCTAATGCGGTGAGGTGAAGCTAGGGACAGCTCCTTTCCTGAGTGAATTTTTCATTTGAATAATGCAGCTTAGTCACCCTGTGGTGAAAGCCAGGACTACGGCAGGCAGGTGCCCATTAGCAGCAGTCTGCCTTCTGGGCAAGTGGGTATATCCACCTCAGTGCTAAGGCCTCTTGCACATATTTGTCCTGCAGAGCTGGGGGAAGGTGAGATCAGCCAATAGGGGTGATGTGGTAATGGGAAACACCCCCATCCCCCACTCCGTGTTAATTTAAATCTATTTCCAAGCAGTTGGGTTTCTCCTGGAGAGGAAGCTTTGCTCTGCTCTGCTTAGGGAGACAGCTGCATCTTGGAGACAGTTGACAGTTTCTCCGATGGCTTTGGAAGCTTGGTGACTCCAGCTGATGGTCACTCCTGGTGACTCCAGCTGTTGGGTGTGGCGCCCACCTATCCCTAGTGACTGTAGAGCACACACTGTGGATTTTACTGATTTTTCTTTCTAATTCTCCCAGACTGGTGGCTTGGGGTTTGGAAGAGGGCCAAGAGAAGGGATCGAGTCTTCCTGCACGGCCTTCTTGCTTTGGGGAACAATGAGCAATGGGAAGACGCTACCTAGGATTTTCTCTTCCTGCCCTGGTCCCCAGGGAATGCTGGAATTGGGGCTAGACAGGGCAAGGCAGAGGTTATTTTACATAGGATTAGGTTCTAGGTGGTGGCCAACTTCTGCACAAGCACTACTGAAAATCACATAAAGAGAAAGCTGTGAAATTGAGGTCTTCATTAAAGAGGACTGGAGCAGAGCCTTTCAGCCAAGGTGTTCTAGAGGTGGAGAAGGACCTGCGGGGACTGGAGAGCCTCTCCCTAGTCACTCCTCCAGGCTGCTCGTGATCTCATGGGAGCTAGAAGGTCTGGGAAGGCTTGCCAGGCACGGGCTGCTTCAGCTTGGCCTGTCTTCAGATCCTACTGCCACGTGTGACCTGAGCCCCGTGGGGCAGTTGGCTCCCTCGATGGCCTGGAAGAGGAGCTTCAGGCGCTGAGTCTCAGGAGGAGGGTGTGTGTTGTAGCCCTTACAGCGGGGCCGAGGCTGGCCTGGAGCTGAGGCTGGTGGGGAGCTGGGCCATGAAGTTACATTCACAGGATTCCAGTTTTGTCTGTCTCCTTCTCTTTGTAATTTTATTTTATTTTTATTTTTTGGAGGAGGTGCATATTTCAGGCGTGGTTGGGGACTAAGGAAACAACTCTAGTTCCATTGTGAAGCCTGTGTTCTCCGCTCTTCCCTTGCACTGGTCATCAGTATTGTATAAAGGAACAACTGATATACTTGAGTGTGCAAGCAGTGGACCCATTTGACATGCTGCTATGAAGACTACTTTTAGAACAACAAAAACAGAAAAATAGAAAAGGAAAAAAAAAGTAAAAAAAAAAAAAAACCTACAAAAATCCCTTTTATTCTTTAATTGTTGCTTTTACAGCGATACTGTGCATGCAAACCAGGAGCATTTTGTGTCTTAAGAAAAATAATCTTAGAACAGATGGCTGTGAAATTATACCCACGCAGAGAACACGCTGCAGGAATAATAGTTCAGGATCTGGGTTTTCTCTTTTTCTTAAAGACCTGAAGGGTTGATATATTCTTTCCATACAGTTATTAGAATTTAGTTTTGTTCCAACAGTTGTTAAACTTGCAATGAAAGAAAATGTGCCATTTCCTCCCTCCCCCAGAATTATTCATAGCTGTATATCTGAAACTGCTAATTATACATGTGTGATGTATGTTGGTTTTTTAGTGAAATTTCTTCTGTAGTTATTCTTGACCAAACTGTGGATATTGTTAATATTAATTTATATTTGTCTCATTTTGTATGTATGTGTAGTGTGTTTGTATGTGTGGTTTATAATCTGACAAAGTCATGAAGCTCTGTTTGGCTGTAATTTAATTCTCCTTCCCGTATTTTTATTTATTTTTGTACTGTGCTGATTCAATAAAATGCACTGACCATCCATTACATCGGCCTCTTTATGGGCCTGTCATTTGTGAGCCTGCTGGGGGCATCTTATCTTTCTGATTCGTGTACTCAGTGCGATTTGTGTTCTAGCAAGGAGGGGGACAGAGCTGGGGAAAGGGCTGAGCGCGCTAATGTGATTAAGCGAGCAGCCCAGGTTAAGTCAGCTTTGGCTCAGTGGTTGCCAGGTCCTCCCTGAGGGTTTCCTTTGTGGAGGTGCAGGACTGGCAGCTCAATCCACAGAGGGTCAGGCTCAGGCATGGCCGGCCAGTGGTGGCCAAGTAGGTCCTGCGCGGGCACCTGGCAATAGAGCTTATCTCTTGAGTCTTTATGCTAAGGCTGGTGCGCCATGTGTCCCCAGGCCTGACCCTGCTTGGTGTCTACTGCCAAGAGGCTCTCAGGGTGGAAGTATCCTGGTGGTCCAGCCCTGCGGGTTTAGCTCTGTAGGTGAGCTGCTACCCCAGCTTCTGCTGTGAGGTCTCATCCATGCTGTGTCCAATCTGCCTGCCAGCCCTGAAGTAAGTCCACCTGTACCATTCCACCAGCCCTGAACCTACTGCCAGGAGCCGCGAGCCTGTGACTGGGCTTTTTTCTCGAGGCAACACCCATGGCCTGAGTCACAGACGCTGCCACTGAGTGTTGTTTCCTGTCTGACCTGCGACTGGAAAGCCCTGCAGTGTTTGGTCCTTGGGTGCTGGGGGTGCCCCTACCCCCATCTGCAGCTCCTGCTCTGAGAGCTGGTCCCTCCTCGCTTCTTTTCCCAGTTCTTCCCTAGCCAGTCACCTTGGAAAGAGGCCGTCCTGGCCCAACAGCTGCCCTAGGAATCTGAGTCCATCATTTATGTGGACGTGGGTTTCAGACTTGTGTTCCCGTCCAGAGCACAGGTTCTGAGAGGCAGAGGAGAGTGTGGGATGGCGCTCCAGGCTCCCTTGCTCCTTTCTCCAGCTGCCTGGTACCTAGAGGCTCCAACGCCTCAGGCAGATTACCCCCATTTTACATTATTTATGCTAATTCTCCCTTCCTTTGGGATGGCACTTGACTAAATAAGCTAAAATTTCACTATTTTTCAATGACAGAGAAACAGGACCACCTTAAAAATAAGATTTAATGCTTTATTGCTCTTGATGGTAAATCAAAATATGCTTTAGAAATAAAGTTAATTTAATGGAAAATAGGAATATATGCACCAAACCATAAAACTGCATCTCATTAAACCGAGAGAACCCACTCTACTGCATACAATCACTGTCTCCCTTTTCCCTCAGCGCCTTGATGGTGTACTATGATCATTCACACCCTAAACTTGTCCTTAGTGGCCACACACTGACTCGCAGTAGGTCATAAAAAAGTGCTTGTGGACAGGGCAGTCCTGTTGCCTCAGCTGGAGGCCCTGGCACTGGGCTGAGGGGCTTCAGTCTACATCAAAAGGTGGGAAAGAGTCCACATCCTTTTTCCCTGCTCTGGCCTTGACTGGCAACTCATTTGGCATGATCTGCTTTGGTGTGTTTAAAACATGTGAAGGGTAAAGCAAGTTGGAGGGAAGGGGAAAAGAAGTTCCAGTTGGTTCCACTAGTGTCTACTGGCGATTGGCAAAATCAAGAGCGTGTGGACCTGGACTGTTGGCACCTCTGCACTGCACAGGCAGCTGACCAGGCTTGGAGGGTGAGGATTCCTGAGGACAGGGTGCCAGCAGGAGTCTTCATTACAAACCACTTACAGTGCAAATGTCTCCATGCCCTGGGAAGTGGTTTATGAGACCAGGTACCTGGGCCCCCATACTCAGGCCCTGGGCAAGGCACAGGAGGTGGCACACAGGCCCTTAGTGGGTTCTGCTGGGTTGGGGTGGCAGGGTGACAATCGGGAAGGGGAAGTATCTGGCAGAAAATGAAGAAAATGTCAGCTCTCTGTACAGCCCTGCCAGCTCTTCCAGGGTGTCTGCTCTGAGCTTGCGAGCTTTCCATGGAAAGCCCCCTGCCAGCAGGCCTGGGCTGCCCACAGGCTTCTGCATCCCCAGCTGCTGAGGCTGGGCAGAGGGGTTTCTGGAGGACCATTCCAACAGCCATGCACTTTGCTGGGCAGAACCTGGCAAGCCAGTAATGCTCTCCTGGCAGGAGGTTGGGGGTCAGACTCCATCGGGCTGGTACATGGCTTAGGTGGGCACCCTGGCCTGGCCAGCAGTGCCAGGGCCCCACGTTTTTTGCTGCAGCTCTGCTGTACCTCCCATGGTTCCTGTGTAAGTTGATTCCTGCCCTGGTCTCAATTCTCCAGTGAGTTGGAAGCACAGTTTGAGGAGTTAGAAAAGGGGAACGGCTGAACAGAGTGCTCCCCTGTCCTGGTACCTGCATTTCCTTAACTAGGTCTTGACAGTGTGGTTACAGCAGAGGTGACATCTGATTAGTAATCTGGCAATCTGCAAAAACAAGGTTGATGACCACAATGTGAGCTGTGGGTTAAATAAAATGGTCCTTGGAGCATCAGCAGGCTCTCTATGGGAGAAGTGGCCAGGAGGCCCAGGCCTGGAGCCCTGTTGGCAAAGGGCTCTCCCAGGGTAGGCTCTGGGAAGAAGGGACTTTCACTTGAACATGACTGAGGGGCTGGGCTCCACAGGTGAACCTGTTCACTTGGTGGCGTTGACTTGCTGATGGGGTTGGAAAGTTGTGCTGAGAACCTCTGAGCTAGGCCCTGAGGACTGATAACCTTGGGGGAGGAGTGGTGGCAAGTGGGGTTCACAAAGCAGAACTAAGTCTTCTGCTCATGTTCGCCAGATCCCTGCCTCTAGGGCAATGTGTCTTTGGCTGGGGAAACTGCATCCTGGGTTCCCCTCACCCACCACTTTACTGGGAGCAGCAGCTGGTCCCTAACCCTTTGCTAACTACAGGTACCATAGTGTACCATTGCCTGAGAGGTGAGGAGTTGTCAGCCCAGGGGTCTGCACAGGGCAACAGGGTCTTAGATTTACTCATCTGGGGCTATGGAAAGTTGAGAGCACAGAAGAGAGACCAGAGACAGAAGCCAAACAGAAAGACCTCATGGGCAGCGCCTCAGGGAAGGCAGGAGAGGAGCCCTACCCAGTGGGACCCTTGCAGCTGATTTCTAGTGGCATTAGCCGGCATGCAACAATTAGCTGGGATCCTCGATGCTGAGTGAGGTGGAGCACATGGGACATGGAGAGGCCGAGTGCTCCCAGGCCAGGCCTCCGATGCACAGCAGTCAGTTCCCAGGCACACTGAGGATGAAGCCTGAGCGGTTCTTGGTGAAGTCAGGCTCTGGCTGGTTAAGCCTTGTCTCCACAGAGACAGTGCACTTCTTCCCATGCAGGCTGCACTGCACTGGGTTGGTGACATTCACTTGAAGGTGGCGCTTCTCACTAGAAAAATGGAAAAGACAGGCCAAGCAGTGAGTGGGCAGATTAGGAATGGTTTTGTTTCCCTGGAAACCCCCCAGGGCCCTGCCATTTATTTGCCAGGTTCCTGTGGGCTGGCAGGTCTGGGGTTCAACCTGTTTTCCTCTCAGGTATGTGCTCACAGAGGCCTGGAGAGGGCCCAGATGGAGGTTGAGCAGGAGAAAGAGGGGCACTGAGGTCTGGGCTGCTGTGCTGACAAAGCAGAGGGGCTAGTGCTCACTCCAGGGAACCTGTGTACAGCTGGACCATGGAGGAAGATATCATAAGCCATCTGAACTGGACTAAGTCACTGGCTTTGGGGGTAGGGTGTGTGTGTGTGTGTGTGTGTGTGTGTGTGTGTGTGTGAGAGAGAGAGAGAGAGAGAGAGAGAGAGAGAGAGAGAGAGAGAGAGAATGGTAGTGGTAGTATCAGGAATCTGACTCATGACAACAGTTATCTGATTGCAACTGGGAGATTAGAAGCCCGTCCCCTGCCACATCCCCCTGGGAATGTCTGTTTTGAGTCTGGCTGGTTGGCCTGTTTGTCATGGAGTCTGGCTGTCAGAAGTGGGTCTGAGACTGTGCTTTGTGGCACAGGTCTGTAATCGCAGCTACTTGGATAGCTAAGGCAGGAAGAATTTAAGTTCAAGGCCAACCTGGGCTTTGGAGTGAGTGAGTTTAAAGCTAGCCTGGACAACTTAGTGAAACCCTGTCTCAAAATAAAAACTCGGGGCTGGAGATATGATAGCTCTGCAGTTAAGAGCACTGGCTGCTTTTGTAGAGGACCTGGGTTCAGTTCCCAGCACTCACATGGCAATTAACAACCATCTATATATCCAGTTCCAGAGGAGCTGATGCCCTCTTCTGGTTTCTGTGGACACTGCATGCAAGTGGTACACTTACATACATGGAGGCAAAACACTTATCCACATTAAAAAGAAAATTAAGAAATAAAAACTTGGGGCTGAGAGAGATGGCTCAGTGGTTAAGAGTACTGGCTGCTCTTGCAGAGGACCCAGGTTCGATTCCCAGCACCCACATGGAGGCTAACAACTGTCTGTAACTCCAGTTCCAGGGGATCCAATGCCTTCTTCTGACCTCTGTGGACACTGCACAACATGGGTACACTTTCACGCATGCAGGCGATACACTCATACACACATAATAAAAATAAAATATTAAAAAAAACCTCAAAAGGACTTGAGATGTAGCTCAGTGGTAGCGCACTTGCCTAGCATGCTTTGAGGACTTGAGTTCAATTCCCAGTACCACCCATAAAAAAAAAAACTGGATCTGTTAGCCATGAAGATTGTTCTCATTTTGATCCTGGGCTTTGCCACAGAACCCAAGCAGCTCTGCCGATGGCCCCTAGTTCCCCAGCAACTGTGGGGCCAGGGCAGGTGGGTGGTCTCTCCATTATCTACCAGGAGGCTGTGCAGGGTGTGCTTGGGAGCCATAGCCAGGGCTTCTTCATCACTGAGTAGAGCCAAGACCTGAGGCGGCCCTGCATGGAGGTGGCATGTTGTGCTCTCCCTGCTGTGGGAAGCTCTCTCCTTCAGTGACTACACTGCACCAAATATACTTAAGGAGCTGCTGCTGAGTTTTAAAAAATATTTATTATTTTTATTTTATGTGTATGCCTGTATTGCCTGCATGTAGGTAAGTGCACCTGTGTCATGCAATGCCCGTGGAAAACAGAAGAGGCTGTCGGATCCCCTGGAACTGGAGTTACGGACAGTCGTTAGCTGCCATGTGGGTGCTGGGAATTGAACCTGGGTCCTCTGCAAGAATAGTCAGTGTTCTTAACCACTGGGCCATCTCTGCAGCCTGCTGCTGCTGATTTTAAAAAGTGAAAACCTGTTGAAGTAGGCTGTGTGCACACACGCCAGCACAATACCATGCTGCACCTCAGCTTGTGCTGCGTCAGTTTTGAGTTGGGAGAAACTCCAGACCAGCAGGCTTAGGCGCTTCAGGATGGGCTGGCGGCAACTGGTGACTCTTCTCTCTGAGCTGACACCTTAGGGATGCCTTTGCTGCTCTTGGGGCAGCATGAGGAGTGTGGACAGGCTGGGCCCTTCAAACGCTGCTGGAATCACTGGGCTAAGGGAGCTCCTAGTGGTGACTGCCGAGTGGCCATTCCACCTTGTGGCAGGAAGGCCGAGGCTGAGGCTGAGGCTGAGACCGAGGCCAGTACACATTTCTCCTAGCCTGGAGAGGCTTTCTCTGCATTTGCCAACTGCTGGTTGGCCCAGGAGATCCTGATGCTTAGATGCTGAGGCAGCTGATGAGGCTCCATGATGTGCAGTGTCTCCCAGGGGTGTCCTGGCACAGGTACTTTGGTAGCACTGGCCCCTGGGCACAGTGTCCAAGGACACTCTGTGGTGCCTGAGAAGGCCTGACTTTGAAACATAAGTTGAAGAGCTGTTAGGGGTTGTTCTTAAGCTGTTCCCTACCTGCTGGTCTTATTAACCACGATGTGGAGGCTGAAGACAGACCCAGGAGGGACCTGTGGCTATCACGTTTGGGCATTAGGTGTCCAATACTTAATATACTATCATCCGCAGCTCCAACCTTACTTGCACAGTTATTTTTAACCAGAGTTGGACATAAAAATAGAGGAACCTATCAAAGGCAATGACTCCTGCTCTCTTCCATCCTGTACGAGTCAGGGTCCTGTGGGAGTCAGGGGCTCTGCAAGTTAGCTACATAGTCCTTGGCTGCAGCAGGCTCCATGTAGGTCCCCTGTGGCCTCATGCTGGCCCATAGCAAGCAAAACCCTGGCTCTGTGGACCTAACTGTAGCTGGGGATGTCTCCTGATTCTCCTGTCAGCCCACGTCTTTTGAGTCCTGCCCTACTGCTGGACTCAAGACCCCTGCTCTGGGGCCAGGGCAGACCTTCTCCTGGTGGCCATATGCCCTTCCCTGGGTTCACAGACGGCAGCCAGCATCCTGGCTTCCTCTTCCTATGGGGCCTGGCACAACAGTGTGTACATGGTGGGTTCTCTCAGACTCTCTGGGAATGGGCTCGATGGGGTCACATTCTACTTTGCTTGAGAAAATAACTGAGAGAGGGACTTGCCAGCCTGCCTGCCATGTTACTGGTGTAGTGGGTCCTCCTGATGTGGGCCCCCTTCCAGTCCCTTGGCCAGAATGTCAGCAGGGAGGCCCCAGGATCCACCCTTTCTCTTCTTTTGAATCTTAAGGGTCTGTTCTAGTCTTGGAGTGTGGTGTGGCTGGTGAGAACGTGGAGGGGAGGGAATTGTTAGGGGTCTCATCTTAAGAGCAGAACCCTCATGTGATTGAGAGGCCACAGAATCCCTGCCCCAGGTCCACTCTTCCATAACCCTTTTTTGTCCTATTCAGTTGGTCAGTAAGCACTATGGAATAAATGTTGGCTGGGGCAAGAAGCAGACAGAAGGGAAGGAGGGGAACATCCTTCCTCAGGGACCTTTCAGCAGACGGCTGAGCACAGCCATGGCCTGAAGGTCACAAAGCATAAGTAACTCTGCTAAAGTTGGCTTCCCCTCCTTTCCGGAACCTACTGGTACTGAAGGAAGGTGGAAAGGACGAAGGCAGGAGTTGGCATACTGGTTTCCTCTACACTGCGATGCAGACAGCTCTGGTAGCCTTCTCTCTCTGTGCCCGCCACTGTGGCCCCTACTTCCTAAGAGGGGCTCTGTCCCAGGAGAAAGGCTGGTCATCCTCTCCTTCCCATGGGTGGGGCTGGCCCTTGGGCATTCACCCTTCAGCCTAGCCTCTCTCCCAGAGCACAGCTTCTGTCCATGGCAAACATCAAACTTCCACTTCACAGAACCACCCCAAAGGAACGGGAATAAATGAGGAAATATCAGGAAAGAAAGGGCACCTTTAGTGATACCTCCACATCCCACTATATATAGCTCAGGCTGGCCTTATACTCAAGAGCAATCCTCTTGCCTCAGCCTCCTGAGTGCTGGGATTACTGGTGTTAGCCACCATGCCCATTCTCCACCTGGGATTTCTGGGTAGCACTTGTAAGCCCACACGAGATCACTCCTGATTCATGTGGGGTCTTACTTCAAGACCAGGGGTTAGTGGCCTGAATTCCAGTGTTTCTGGCTTTTGGACCTGCCCAAGCCTGTGAGTCTCTTTTCCAGCTATCAGGTGTACATGAGAAATCTATTCTTTTCTTCCTCTGTGGTGAAGATGGGTGGAATGAGTTATTTCATCATCACCATCTCTTCAGCTTTTACCTAGTCTTTACCACAACATACTAAGCCCCAGAAATACAGAAAACAAGTCTGTGGTTGAAGACAGGGATTTCTCCCACATTGTGGCTGGCAGTCTGGCCTCCTGGAATCTGCAATCTGGAGATTGATGCATGGAGGGCACTTAGAAAGACATGAGCTCTGTTGGTTGGAAGTGGACACTATCACTTTGTTTTCCAGAGGAAATTTACTCCTTCCTCAGTTATGTGCTAAGAACCTCCAGGAGAGCTGGTTCAGGAGAGCTACTGTGATGGACCTGGTTTATGTTCTTTTCCCATGTTCTCACAACTGATAAAGCCTGTGCATCTTCTGTTTTGAATAGGCCCCTGCTGGATGCTGTACACCTAGGACATTTTTTATTTTTATTTTATGTGTCTGAGTGCATTGCCTGCATGTATGTGAGTACACCCGTGTCATGCAATGCCTTGGAGGTCAGAAGAGGGCATCAGATTCCCCTGGAACTGGAATTAAGGACGGTTTGTAGCCACCATGTGAGTGCTGGAAATCAAACCTGGGTCCTCTGCAAGAGCAGTCAGTGCTCTTTACCACTGAGCCTTCTCTCCAGCCCCATCCTAGGGCATTCTAAGCCTATGTGACCAGTGTGTGGAACACTCATGCTACCTGTGTTTAGAATGCAGGTTCCTAGAGGGTGGGGAGGGGTCTCAGAAGGCTGCAGTCGGGGGAGGCACCTGGTACTGATGGGCACTTCTAGCCAGGCCACTGGTTCTGGGTTTGCTGG